TAGGACTCCCTGGGTGTTGCAAACAGTTAAGTGCTCAACTACTAGCTCAACTACTAGCCAAAAGCTTGGCAGTTCAAACCCACCCAGAGGTGCCTCAGAATACAGGCCTGGCGATCTGCTTCCAAAAGGTCACAGTCTTGAAAACCCTATGGAGTAGTTCTACTCTGCACACATGGGGCTGCCATGAGTCAGAATCTACTGATGGCAACTAACGTGGCAACAACGTAGCAGGCTGCTGCTTTCCTGTAACAATCCACTGCCATGTTCTGCTCTCAAGGCTTCGTGGCCCACATTCTATAGCTCTGTGTCTAATTAGGAGCCCTGGTGGTGCAGTGGTTTAGAACTCAGCTGCTAACTGAAAGGTCAGCAGTTCGAACCTACCAGCTGCTCCTTGGAAGCACTATGGGGCAGTTTTACTCTGTCCTATGGGGTTGCTGTAAGTTAGAATCGACTTGACGGCAGTAGGTTTTGTTTTCTGGTTTTATGTCTAATTATGGTAAAACTCAGGTTGGTCAGTAAGGAAGCCGTTTCTTTGACTGTGTATGTCTATTTCTAGGCAGTGGTCTGTTTGTTGTTTTAGAATGGAAGCTGCCAAGGCCCACAACTACGTGTCACTGAATTGTCTGTCGTGCCTCTCTCTGGAGGAGCTGCCTCCTAAAGATGCTAAAAAGCCACACAGAGTGATTTGATGAGATGGCCTTAATTTATTTGAGAAATTTTGGCAATTTGTCAAAAACAGCCTCAGGTTCCTTTTCAAAATGTTTTCTCATGGGAGTCAGTCATGTGGCTTCTGTGGTTTTCAGTAAGTTGGAGAGAAGCGAATCCCCCAGGGCTGTTATGAAGACATATTCTTGTGCCATTATTTGTACCTCAAACTCAGCAGACCCTGAATGAAGTCATTAGCCTGCCCACTCCTCATCCGTCTAAATCTATTCTTCTCTAAGTTCCGTCGCTCAGTTCTTGGAGCCATTTTCCTTTAAGCATCCAGCCCCCAAACCTCAGAGTCATCTTTGGTTCCTTCTCTTCTTCCTGCTCTCTGGATATGGTCCTTTCCAGTTCTGTTTCCCATGTCCCCTGGGTTCATCCACCCATTTCCCTGTCCACTGCTACTATGCCAGTTTACACCTTCAGCATCTCTTAACCTCCTGCACTTGCGTTTTCATAATAGCTTCTCATTAGTCCCTGGCTTCTATCTCCTCTTGAATCCAGAGTTATCTTTCCAAACCACAGATAATACCACTTTTCTTCTCAAAACCCTACTATGGCTCCTACAGTGGCAGTATGCAATCTTTTTTTCCCAACACACTTGAGTAATTTACTGCTCTCCTGTCTGTGGAGCCCTGGTGATGCAGTGGTTCACAGCTTGGCTGTCAACCAAAAGGTAGGCAGTTCGAACCCACCAACTGCTCCTTGGAAACTCTATGGGGCAGTTCTACTCTGTCTGATAGGGCCATTATAAGTCAGAATCTATTTCAATGGCAGACACCATCTGGGTTCTCCCGCTTGTAAATGGCTCACACAGCAGCGAGTCTCTGTGCAGGGATTCTCTGAACAGGGATTCATGTGATGTAAACTAGCACCCCCAGGTGATTCTGATTTGGTTCTGCAGGTAGGTCCTCAGCTGACACCCACTGGATAGGACTTTTGGACTTTCCAGTAACTTCCTAGCACCATCTGCCACTGCCCCCATTGTCCCCTGCATCCATCGGATTCTCCAGTCCAACTGGTGTAAACTTTCTCCAAGGACCTGTGTGTTTCCAAACCTCAGTGCCTCTGCTCATGACACTCATTCCGCTTGAACGCCCTTCTTTCATTTTCTGCCAGATGAAGACGCCTCACTCGTTGATGTTAAGCTCCAAGGGTGACTCCCTTAGTGAGCACTTCCTTTAATAGGCCTGTTTAGAAAGGATCATTTCTTCCTCTGTGCCCTCCAATCAGCTCACTTCTCTGTCTCCTCACCCTTTACTTCTCCCTGCCTTGAATTTTGACCCGTTGTTAATTGTCTGTCTTCTCTACTAGATTCTAAACTCCTTGAAGACAGGCTTCATGTCACATTCGTGTTTGTGCCGTCACTGTGCCCAGCACTGTGGCTGCCTCAAACAGATGTTCAGTAACTGCTAAATTGAATTTTTGAACTCCCAGCTCTCAGGGCGGTAGTGAGAACAATTCGTACAGCAGAATCTGCAATGGAAACTTTGGCTGGGCCACGAAGCCTTGAGAGCAGGAACATGGCAGTGGATTATTATAGGGAAGCAGCAGCCTGCTACGTTGTTGCCACGTTAGTTGCCATCAGCAGATTCTGACTCATGGCAGCGCCATGTGTGTAGAGTAGAACTACTCCATAGGGTTTTCAAGACTGTGACCTTTCGGAAGCAGATCGCCAGGCCTGTATTCTGAGGCACCTCTGGGTGGGTTTGAACTGCCAAGCTTTTGGCTAGTAGTTGAGCACTTAACTGTTTGCACCACCCAGGGACTCCTAGCCTGCTATGAGGAGGGGTTAAAGAAGGGCTTATTTACAATGCGCAGAAACATACTTGTATTCTGTCAGCTACGCCATCTCCAGAAATTCAGACGGGGTCAGCAAGGAAGAGAGTTGTTCTCTGAGAGTTTGGTTGGTTCCCAGAGGGGATGCTGGAAATGGCTCTCTGAGCTTGCACTATTTTGTTATGAGGACAGCACTCTGGGGATCCCCTGGGACCACTGGCAAACCTCTGGATTTGGGGACAATAATTAGCCATGCATTTTCTCCACAAACGTTTTGGTTTAGAATGCTTGGGAAAATGTAATACCTTCAAGTGAGGTAAACTTTTTTTCCTAAACTTGGGCCTACTCACATTATGCCCCAGGAGCTTCCATTGGTCCTACAACCTTATTCAGCAAAGTAAGTGAGCCTCTTGCTAATAAGTTGATAAGATGGATACTCGCAGGTACATGGGTGGTTAAGGGGGTTCTGCACAAGCAGAAGACTGGGAGTCTCCTCATTGTGTGGACTTCATATTTGGCTATTCCATCTAGCAAGTTAAATTATGATACAGTTTCAGGAATTGTGGCAACGAGAGGACTCTGTGTTCCATGATGAATGTTCTGAGCTTTGCTCTCAAATAATAGTCTTTAGTACAAAAGCAGGTGGGTGTTTATTTTTCTGAGACCCAGGATAGGTAATTTATGAGTTTTCAAGTAACTATTGGTGGAGGGTGAGCCGTGGCTTTCAACAGTTGGAGCCATAAATGACATTAAAAGTAGAATAACAGACGCGCATTTTTTTGTGCCAGTCAGAAAGAAACTCAAAGACAAGAACATGCTATGTGCGGGGCCCTCTCTCAAAAGCATAGTAACTTAATTCTTGTCCTGCCCTGTAGACTCTCTGGGTGTGAGAGCGGGCCTGGGATCTGTCCCTGGCTGCCTTGCATGGCCAGTGCTGACAGTTGTGTCACTAGGGTTGGTGTCACCTACTGTGGTAACTCATGTGTCACCTCCCCAATACTAATTACCACAATATTGTAGCTAAAACACCAGAAAATTTGATAAAAATCAGTGACTATAAAAACACCAGCAGCAATGAAAACAACAGCGCGTGGAGACAAAACCACGTGATTTGAAGTGTTGTTGTAATTGGATAATAATGACAGCTCTGACCTGAGTGCATTAGAAGGTTCAAAAAGTAAATTAGCATAGAGTTTTAGCCTTCTATTGATAGAGTCCTGATGGTGCAGTGGTTAAGAGCTTGGCAGTTCAAATCCACCACCTGCCATTTGGAAACCCTATGGGGCAGTTCTATAGGGTTGGTATGAGTCGAAATTGACTCAACAGCAATGGATTTGGTTTTTTGGTTTAAGTATATTGATACATGTAACCTGGGCTTACAAAAAAAAATTTTTTTTTGTTATAACTAACTACAGGGATAGTTTTATAAAAAATAATAAATTTCTGCTGAAACATTGCACAAAAATTTTATAGACAGTCATTTTGGTGTCACCCCCTCTGACAGGGTCACCCGGTACAGTCTATAGCCCTGTGCCACCCTAGTGACACCACTGCTGATAGATGCTCCCCAGCTTCATTAGCCTCTTTCCATGTCCTGGAATAGGTATTATGCCAAGACATCTCAGGGCAGAGCCAGTGGGAAAACTTTTCCTGAGCAGCATCTGGCAGGGTATGTTGGGCATTTGGCAGCCTCGGATGGATTCAGGGTTTCTCAGATGCCTTGAGTGTCAGAGCTCACACTGCCTGCCATCATGTGATGGGGGAACTGGGAACTCTGAGCTCCACTTGTACATGGTCCAGGCCAAAGTCTGAGGTGGATTTTGTATTCTGTACTTTTTGGGTTTTTTTTCCCCTTTGGATCTAAATATGCCTTGTGCTTTGTGTGGGGTGTGTGTGTGTGTGTGTGTTGCAGCTTAACAGTTTACAGCTTAGACTCTGAATGAAAGGTGCTTTGCAACATCAATCACAGTTACGTCAGAAAAAAATTATCATAAGAATAAAACCATGAGATGGTGTTATCATGAGTATGTCTTGCTTTAAGTAAACCAGCCATATCAAACCCAAACTTTTGACATTAATAAATTATCATGTGCTTATTTGCTTTGCAAAATTATTTTTTGGTTTTTATAAAAGCAGTGGGTATTTTCCTGTAGTGGAACATGAAAGCTATAGACCTTCTACCTAGAAAAATGCAGACTGTCTACCAGCTGTAAACAATTATGGTGGCTGGGTCAGAGGCCCCCAAAAAGTCATTCCTGAATCCTCCAGTGAACCATGGGCCCCAGGTAAGAATATATATTTGAGAGCCATTTTGCCTGGGTCACTTGATATGGGATTTGATTTCTTTTTGTTGTTTACAAATAATGAAGAGTGTAATGATCACACAAGGCAATGCACACAAGCACTGCACAAAGTGGGCTAACTTGTATTCTAAGAGTCCCTGGAAAGTGAGTGGAAATTTGCTTTTCATATTTAGCTTTCACACTTTACACTGTTAAGAAGAAAAATGTGTGTACCTCTCCACGCCGCTCAGTTTCCATTTGTGTTTCTGGGATACCAGTAATCCTCCTCCCCAAGCTGCCTGAAAAAGGAAGATCATACAAGGAAAAAGGTAGCAGTTTTCCACTGACTAGATTTCTATCGTTTGGTGTCTTCTAGAACAGACAGTGTCTTGCAGGTTGAAAATTATTTCCTTGACCCTAGGCTACCTTCTACTAGCATCAGAACTCCAAAGTTTAAATTTATATCCATCCCACATTTATATGAGCGTAAGGAGCCAAATTTGGAGCACATTTCAGTCTACAAAAGAAAGAGACAATCTTCCCCCTCAACTCACCACTACCACCATTAGTCCCAGTAATGTTCATGTTTTCAGAGTAAGAAACCTTATATTCCCCACAGTTAAGGGTAGAGAAGATGGACTAGGGACCCATTAAACAGCTTCCAAGTGGCAAGGAAAACCTTTTTGAGAAGTCTGGATGATTCCAGAGGGAGAGACCAGCTTAACAATCTTATTTTACTGATGTGTAATGTTGGAAAAGATAATTTCCCTGCCCAAGAAAAGCAAACAGGAAAGATTCGTACTAGTCAAGTAGTTGAGGTATTAGAACATGCCCTTTAAAAATTTGTACTCAAGTTGGGTGGGGCAGGACCAAGATGGTGGAGTAGTCAGATGCTTCCGGTGGTCCTTCTTCCAACAAAGACCCAAAAAAACAAGTGCATCGATTACATATGACAATCTAGGAGCCCTGAACATCAAAGGCAAAGTTGAGGAATTGGACTGAGTGGCAGGGAGACAGAGAGACAGTTTGGAAGCTGCGAGGAGTTGCCAGAACTGACCCGGTGGGAGCCAGAGCCCTTCAGCCCAGATCAGCTCGGGATGCGCAGTGAAGCAGGCAAGCAGCAGTGCTCAGGAGGTGTTTTCCACATCTGGAGAGACCCAGCAGCAGAGAGTCTACTCAGCCATCCAGAACCAGTGAGAAGCAGCCCTCGATTGGCAAAAGATAAGTACTTGTGTCTGGCCCACCTCGCGGATCAAAAACATTCCCCTTAGGGAAAAAGCTCTCTCCCATTTACTTCCCCACTCCCTGCTCTGCACTGGGTCCAGGACATCTTCAGCAATTGCTGAGTCCCCTGGGCTGGAAACAGGACCCGTCATGCACCCTCAGCCATTCTCTCGGCCTTAGAGAGGGAACAAATTAACAAACGGGTAAAAAATAATCTGTCGGCTTCCCTAAGCCAGGAATTCTGGGTAGGCACAGTTCCTTTGCCTAGGCACAGGCATAAGGGATCCATGGACTTTGAGTGCCTTTCCCCATGCATATACTTGTGTGGGCCCATTTCAACAGTGTAGGTCCTCATTACCACAGTACAACAGGGTATATACCTGAAGTCTAACTTCAACTGTTTCAGCTGTAAAGTGGCAGGTTCGTGACATTTGACACTGCTCTGCCCATTAAGCAAGGTCTTCACCTACCCACATCAGGGGCCTGAGGACTGGTGGCTCCACCCATGCCACCTAGCCACCTGCAACAGGGGCCCAAGAATAAGAGGTGCCCCCCAGTCCTTATAGCCAACAGCATTGGGTGCTCATAGTCTGGCTGAAAAACCCACCCATGTAGGCACTCTAAGGAAGAGGGACACGCTTTCCTCCCAGGCACTTCGGGGTGGCCGTTGGCCCCTTGCCTTGCTTAGTGTGTCCCCTTGCTACAGCCAGCTGCCTGTGCCTACACCAGTCACCCATGCCTATCTAGGACTGTAGGTGAGAGCCTGAACCACACACTTGGTGGCCAACTACCAGGACACCTGAGCTGAATCCATACAGGAGGAGTGGGTGGACTCCTGGGCTCACATACTTAGTGGCAGTTCTGGCCACCTGGTGGCAGGACGTTGGAGCTTCAGGGGCGCCGGTGACCAGGCTAGCTCACACTAGCAGCCTATTTGAGCATATCAAAACAAAACAAAACAAGCATCTAGGACACAGTAAGCAAACATAAAATAAATATAATAACTTATTGATGGCTCGGAGACAACAGTCAATATCAAATCACATAAAGAGGCAGACCATGATCTCTTCCTGAAGCTCCCAAAATAAAATATCTAGAAATTTTCCAGAGGAAGAAAATTTTTTGGAATTACCAGAGGCAGAATACAGAAGATTAACATACAGAACTCTTCAAGACATCAGGAAGGAAATTAGGCAAAACGAAGACCTCGCAATAGAGGAACTTAAGAAGATTAGAGAAGAGCATAATGACAAATGTAACAGGCTGCAAGAATCCACAGAGAGACAGCAATCAGCAATCCGGGAGATTAACAATAAAATGTCAGGATTAGACAACTCAGTAGAAAGTCATAGGAGCAGAACTGAGGCAATGGAAGTCAGAATTAGTGAGATTGAAGATAAAGTACTTGACACCAACTTATTTGAAGAAAAATCTGTACTCAAGTAGTAATCTCCTTTGCAAATAGGATGTTAAGATGGTGACTAATTTTAAAATGTTGACATTCCTTACTCTGTGTTGGAAAATAATCCTGGGCTATTTTTAAAAGAAAAAAAACTGTTACGGTGTAATCGTGTGTTTTCTTTGTTGTAATTTCAATTCTTTTACACTTTGAAAAATTATCTAGTTTTCAAGATGTGTAATATTTTAAGATTATTCTAATTTAATTATAGAATGTATAAATATTAAACATTAAAGCTAATAAAAATAAGTGGTAAATTTGGTATGTTTCAAACAAAAGGTAAACCAATCAGTTAAAAGATTCCCCAGCTCTAATTTAAGTAGGAAGCTTTGGGGAGAGATCACAGCATCTGCTGGCATAGGACACACGGACATTCTTATTTTTCATGTTGTTAGGGTAATCAACTTCTCGAATCAGCTCGCAAGATTTAGTAGGCTTTCCAGTTCTAAAACCTAGGTCACTGATGGTAGTTGAGTTGTACTACCCTTTGGGTCCTCGGTGCTTTTGTGTGTAAAATGAAGGGGTGTCTTGTAGCCTAATGAACAACTCACACTGTTAATCAGGAAAGGAAAAGAAGATAGGTAATTGCTATGTAGGATAACTCTGGAATAATGGAAATTTACCTAGATTATCCTGCAGAAGTTTTCTGCTTCTAGAGCAGGGAATTAATTTGGCCTGAGTACTTATTATAAAGTTGAAATGATCTAAGCCAGTGCTACTCAAAGTGCTAGCCCACAACAACATAAAGATCTTGCACCAAAATGTAAATCAGTTTATGGCTTCTTTTGCTGAGAAAGTCTTGCAACAACAACAAAAAAAAAGTCAGCTAAACCAAACACTGTGCTTAGTGATGGCTTGGCACAGCTCCTTATCCCATCATAGATTATTAACAGCTTGCAGATGGCAGCTGATCTTTGAAACACTTGGAGTAATACTGATCTAAACTTAAATCCATTTAATTCATTCTTCTAAAAATTGACATATTTTTTCATTTGAAAATGTTTTGGTGGGCACACTTCCATTATTTTTTAGTGTGACTAAGCCTGGAGTCAAAACATCTCCAATATAATTTATCTTCTTAGCTGATTAAGCTCATTGATGATCAGAAATTTGGTACAGATTTCCTAGTAAGCTGTCATGCCTGCTTTCCTCCTTAAACATATGAATACCTAACTTGAGCCTGAGACTTTTATCTTGCAGGTTTCCTACATAAATGCATCATCTTTTTACTCTTTTGATCATTCTTGCAAGAAAGTAATACCTGCAAGTGTGTGAATGTGTGTATATGTAGGCTGTGTTCCTTCATGAATGTTTATGGCTCAGTGAGTTGAAAAGTAAGTGCACAGCTCATGCACTGGTCATAGAAATAAAAATATCATCATGTTGGGGACATTAAGGCATAATCAGTCTCCAGCTGCTTCCTATGAATGCTGTGTACTGTGTTGAGTTGTGTGCTACTTTGCCTCTGCAATCCTTAAAAGCTTAAATGTTACCATTCTGAAAAATAAGCTGATAAAGGGAAAAAGAAAAAAAAAAATCCTTCTATGAGTCTCAGATGAAAATGAGCAAGAACATTTTAATGGCCAGCCCGTAGTGGGATACTTACATCCACATGCATCCAGATCTTATATTTTTTGCAAATGTCAGCAATAGCTAAGAGGGGATCAAACGCTCCATACACAGTGGTTCCAGCAGTGGCACTCACAAGGAAAGGAACAAATCCCTAGACAAAGGAGAAAACCCCCAAAAATGTAAAACAGTGGTTCAAGGATTCTTTTAAAAATCTGATGAAAACAATGGAAATTCTCCTCCTATCATATGCATCTGCGTTTTTGAAACTATCAGAAAATTTATTGATACCCTAGGACTTGGTAGGTCCCTATGTGGTGCAAATAGTTGGTGTGCAACTACTAACCTAAAGGTTGGCGGTTTGAACCCACCCAGAGGTATTACGGAAAAAAGCCTTGGTGATCTGCTTCCTTAAGATTACAGCCAAGAAAACCCTATGGGACAGTTCTACTCTGTAACACATGGGGATGCCATGAGTCTGAATCAACTTGACGGCACAATGGTTTGGTTTTTGGTCTTGGAGCCTGGTAGAATCTGTGCTCACTTTCCAGAACCTGTTTTCTCTGGCCCATTCTGGTGGCCTTGCCAGTTGCCTTATGGGAATAGACACTAGGGTTCTCAGAAGAGGCTGTGCCAACCATAAAAGTGAGTAAACTTTGTGGTGCCCACCATCATTTATATATTCTGGGTAGATTTCCTGGCCTTTTTTTTTTTTTCTTTGTAAACTTTCTAGTCCTCCTTATTCACAACAGAGAATCTGAGCTTAATAACCCCCCTAGAATGAACCAGCAAGGGAACAAAAACAAAGAACTCTGATCAACCCATTGTTCTTCTTTGGAAAATCCTCTGATAATTTATTTGGAGTCTTAGAGGTGAGGGTTCATATGGGGCTACATAATTAGCCATGGCTTTTTCCTTCTAAGTAGTCCTCAGTCTGTTTTGTCATGGCTAAATGAAAATTGATTGAAATAATAGGCTGCCGCTGAGGGCTCCGAAAGAAGGCAGAATTCCACAAATAAGATGAATATGGTAATGGCATGACTCGGAATGCAACGTGGTGATGTTACGGCATGAGTCTTTAGGTGGCAGCAAAGGTTTAATCTTGTGGTTTATTTTACTAGCAGTAGTTCTAGTCTAAGAACCAGGGAAATTTTCTCCTTTGTAGAAAAATGGCATATGGAAATAAATAATTATTCCTGAGCTTATAATAATAAAATGTATGTGTTATGCCATTGAAGCAGGAACTGTAGGTTATATCTACCAAAAGTTAAACTAGGAGAGTTCTAAAAACAAACTCTGGCTTGTGAGACATCGGGGGATGTAAATGAGTTCCTAGAGCTTTGTGGGAATCTTTGACAGGTTTTCAGAAGTTGTTACTTAGAAAAAGAGTTCTAAATTGCTTCCTGCAAAATAAGATATTTGGACAGCCAATCATATCAGCATGCATCTAGGCAGGAAAAGCTGGTCCCTTTTAAAAAATTATACATCTCTGACTCACAAACTGCATTAGCATACTTGCCACTTGTGAAAATTATCTTTCAAAACGCGTGTCTGTTTAATGTTAACCCTCAACACATCAGGAAGACAAATGCTTTGGAAACTCTTACAATATCTTACAATTAGCAGCTTAGACCTTTCCAAAGCAGAGCCTGTAACTAAGAGAAATAAATAATGATAGGATGAAAAACTCCATGTTCTCCTGAAAGGTGGGAGGTGAAGGTTTGTATGCTATTTTTAAAATGAAACGAAAGTGTGCTTCTCTACTGGCTGGAAATAGAAGTATGTACTCCCAGCTCGTTATGGCTAGATAAAGCCCTTCTTCCTCCCCCTCCCCACCCCAACACACACTTACGTTTTGTTTGGCTTCAAGGATCCTTCTTTCAAGATCAGATGGGATCATTTTCCCTCTAAAAGAAAAAATAAATATAGTTTTGTTTTGAATAATTTACTCTGTTGCCTTTGCAACATAAGCAGCCACATGAGAGTAAAAGTCCAACCCTAAACAGTTGACAATAATGATCAGTTAAAGCAACTCCTTGGCTATTTCCAGCAAGAAATGTATTCACCTCCCTAAACTATGCTTGGCTATAATCTATGGCACGTTTATGTGACTCCTAACCACACTGTGTTATCTTGTTGAACAGCCACAATGTCCCTCTACTTTGCTCAGAGCCTACTTTTTAAGTCATCAGCTTAATTTCATTAAAATAAGCCTGATTTGGAGCAAGACAGTTGGCAATGAAAAGGAGAGTACAGGTCTGTATTCCAGGTCTTCTAATGAATAGAACTGCAATTTCACATATAGACAAAAAGCCAAGACGAGAGTAATCCATTCGGCCACCCTGATCTTGAAGCATCTGAATGAAAATACTAAGTCAAAAAGCTATCTAATTACATCCCAAGGGCTAAAAACACAAAGCAGGCCAAGAACTCATGAGCTCAGACTCAAACAGTTAGATAGACAGGCATCCTAAAAAGAAATATCCTTTCATGCCCCAAATGTTTCTTTCTTAAAATAAAAACACAGATGACCCCTTGCTTACATTAAAACCCTTGTTAGATGTTGTTGTTAGTTGCCATGGAGTCAGCCGTAACTCATGGCAACCCTATGCACAAGAGAATGAAATATTGCCCCATCCTGTGTCATCCTCATCATAGCCAGGATGCTGAAATCCGCTTTTTGGTTTTATATGTATTTTGAGTGCCTTTCCACCTAGGGAGCTCATGTTTCAGCACTCTATCTGATAGTATTCTGTTGTGATCTGTAGAGTTTTCACTGGCTATTTTTTGGAAGTAGATCACCCAGCCTTTCTTCCTAGACTGTCTCAGTCTGGAAGCTCCACTGAAGCGTGTCCACCATGGGTGACTCTGCTGGTATTTGAAATACCAGTGGCATAATAGTTTCCAGTGTCATGGTAACATGAAAGCTGTCACAGTATGGCAAACTGACAGGTGTTGGACTATTATAATAATCAGAGATACTAATTTCTACCAGAAACAATTGTTGTATGTAGAAGAGTAGCCAATTAATACTACTAGATATGTGACCTTTGTCAAGTTACTTAATTTCCCTGTGCCTATTTTCCCTGGAAAAAAGGGATAATAATACTACTTATATAGTTATTATGAGGGTTAAATGCATTAATAATGCAAATAAATGCAAAATGACTTAAAAAGTGCTTGGTATATGGTAAGCACTCAATATATGTTGGATTTCATTGTTGAGATTGTTATTAGACATTGTGACATAATATTCTTATCCTAAGATTTTGGGAAAAACAGGCAAAGGATAGACAGGGTAGTTGAATGGTGCTGGTTGTTGTTGTTAGTTGCTGTTGAGTCAATTCAGACTCATGGCAATCCCATGTGTGCTCTATAGGGTTTTCAAGGCTGTGACTTTTCGGAAGCAGATCACCTGGCCTGTCTTCCAAGATGCCTCTGGGTGGGTTCTGTCAACTTTTTAGCTAGTAGTCCAGTGCTTAACCATTTGTGTCACCCAGTGAAAAAGTCTTTAAACCAAAATAGCTCTCTTACAGTAAAAAGATCAGTGTTTGCCAGGGGTTCAGCAGGAGAGGGGAAATGACGACTAGGTGGAGGATAGGGCATTTTTAGGACAGATACTGTAATAGTGGACACATGACATTATGTATTTGTCAAAACCCATAGGACTGTACAACAAAAAGAGTGAACCTTAATGTGAACTGTGGACTTTAGTTAATAATAATGTATCAGTATGGGTTTATCAGTTGTTAACAAATGTACCACACTAATGCAAGTTGTTAATAATAGGAGAAACCGTGTGCTAGGAGAGGGCATGTGGGAACTCTGCTTTCTGTGCAATTTTTCTGTAAACCTAAAACCACTCTAAAAAAGAAAGTGTCTTATGAAAAAAAGGAATAGCTTTCATGTAGGTTGCTAAATGGGCTAAACTATTTTTATCAGGGTCATTGATCTAAGTTTTCAAACGGCAATTTGGGAAAATAAATTATGTGGGAGGAGGCTGTCACCATAAGCGGTTGGGGGATGCTGGCATTCAGTGAGCAATGAGTGGGGTTCTGATATCTGAGTCACCAACACAACAGAAGATTTATCCCTGTGATTCTAGACACACACAGAGCAAGCACTGGGCTACCTCACTACATCTGTTAGGGCAGTCTTGCCTAAGCTTTTACATATTGAGATATATGTTACTTTATTAAAAATTACTTTTCCAACATTCCTACATTTTTTGTAGCTTGGACATTATGTATTGAGTAGGTAAGTTATATTTTGTATGATTTTCATTTCAGGCTAATAAAGGAGGTGTTACAAAATAGTTGTAATATAAAACAGACATTAGGTCTTGTGATGGTTGAGATTGTGTGTCAACTTGGCTGGGCCATGATCAGTGTTTTAATGTAATCACTCCCACGATTGAATATATTGTGAGTAGCCAATCAGATGAAAGGGAGTCTCCTTGGGGGTGTGGCCTGCATCTGTGTATAAGCAGATGTTCTGGCTTTTTGCTCTCTCTGGATTTCAGCTACTTCCTGTCGTCTCATCTCCCGTTCTTGGGACCTGAGCTGTCAGCTTATCTGCTGAACCTGGGATCTGTCAGTCTGTCGATCTGCACAGCCTGTGAGTGGGAGCCCTGCCCTCCAACCTGCCGATCTTGGGCTTGCCAGCTTCTGCAGCTGTGTGACTTGGGAGAGGCCTCTACCCTGATCCACGGACTTGGGACGTTCTAGCCTCTACAATCATGTGAGCTGTTTACTTGATATAATCTCTCTCTCTATATATATATTTATATACTTTACTGTTTTTGCTTCTCTAGAGAACCCAGCCTAAGACAGGTCTCAAAGCCCTGGTTTAGGTGAAGCCATTTTCCAAAGAAAGACAGTTAAAATGCAATTACCTGGGAACAATAATGGGCAAATTACTAGTGATTAGTTTGTCAGGCCGGAATGGAAAAAAGGGCACTAAATTTAGTGCCCTACATTTAGTGCAGAAGGGTACGGACTCAGATTCAGAGCAGCTCACTGCTTGGGAACTTCAGCTGAGGTGTACCCCTCACAGGGGAGACTGTGGGAACCTTCCAGAAGGCACGGTGGTAGAAGTTGGGAAAGTTGCCCTGGAGGTCATCTCACTCCCTATATTTCTCCCAACACTTCAAAGCAATGAGTTTAGGCTATGCTACAAAACTTTGAAGGAGCCCTGGTGGAGCAGTGGTTAAGCGCTTGGCTGCTAACTGAAAGAAAGGTCAACGGTTTGAACTCACCAGCTGCTCTGTGGGAGAAAAGACCTGGCAATCTGCTCCTATAAAGATTACAGTCTTAGAAACGCTATGGGGCAGTTCTACCCTGTCCTATAGGGTTGCTGTGAGTTGGAATTGACTTGACAGAAACTGGTTATAACCTTCCTCTGGCCCTAATATAAACAAAATGTTTACATTTCAAAGAAAATTCAAGCATTTATTTTTTTAAATAAAGTTTTGAGCACATTAAAATTGCCACAGTATTTTTCGTAGGTAAATATGAAAACTGAGAAGAAGAGTTCTTAGAACTTGCTTTGAAAATCCTGAATTTTTAAGAGGATGGTACAGGCCAGGCCAGTGTTTCATTCTGTTATACATAAACTCACTCTGAGTTGGAGCTGACTCAAAGGCACCTAACAACAACAAAAACCACAAGCTAAACATCTCTGCCTTGGAGAATTTTGGGAAGACTAGCTTGACAACCACTATTTCTTCATCTAAACACATCTGAACACTTTATTAAGTGTAAGGCAATAGGGTGTCATCAGGAAGTCACAGATTAGGGCATATAATTGGCAGGGACTCAAGCTCTGGTTCTAGCCTAACCCTCTCATTTTCTAAATGAGGAAATGGGTCAAGAGAGGTGTAGTGACTACCTAAGATCAAATGGTGGGAAAGGACCAGGTTGTAACTAAATATAAAATGCCAAGCTTCTAAAACAACCTCTAAGGGGCCAAACATACAGGAAACCTATCTTGAAAGGGTAGGCTCTTTTAAGATAGAAAAAAACAAAAAAGAAAACCAAACCCAGTGCCATTGAGTCGATTCCGACTCATAGCGACCCAATAGGACACAGTAGAACTGCCCCACAGGGTTTCCAAGGCTGCAAATCTTTACAGAAGCAGGCTTCCACATCTTTCTCCCACTGAGTGGCTGGTGGGTTTGAACCACCGACCTTTCAGTTAGCAGCTGAGCTCTTAACCTCTCTCCACCATACAATTCTTTTAAGGCAATATCTGGCTTTCATGGATCAGAGGTATCATTCAAGCCTGCCTGGAAAACTAACATATGGTCTGTGCCATTTCCATACCAGTGAGTTTAGGGGCAAGGAGAAGGGAGCAGGCTCGTCAAATAATCAACTTCAAATGTTCACTTCTCTTCCTGAGTGGAAAGAGTTGGGTGTGGCTTTTGACAAGGAGGGCGTTCATCTTTCCTAGGGCATCTGTTTTCTCTAGACCCTTATTTGTTTTGTTCACTTACGAACCCAGAGCTGGGCACACTGCAGGTGGTAGATTAATATTTGTTGGAGGTGTGTGACTAGAAGGCAGAAGTTTAATCCTAGGATGACATAAATATGTTTACCTTACCTTAATGTTTGACCAGACAGCTAGTATGGGGACTTCTGAGGACAAAACCTTTTATCTTTGATAGAAATGATTGAATTGCTTTAGAACAATTGTTGTTAAAATTTAGTGTGCTTACGAGTCATCTGCGTACTTGTTTAAAATATACTGTTTGAGTCTGCTCCTAGGGATTTGATTCAGTAGGTCAGATATCAAACCAAACCAAACCAGTTGCTGTTGAGTCGATTCTGACTTATGGTGACCCCATGTGTGTCAGAGGAGAACTGTCCTCCACAGGGTTTCCAATGGCTGATTTTTTTGGAAGTAGATC